CCCCCCGCGACCCGCCGGCAGCGCGCCGCCACACTGGCCCGATCCTGACCTCCCCCCTACCCCCTGGCCCTTCTCGTCAGTGTTGGCGAGACACAGGAGTAAATTATATTAATTGCGGAAGCAGCAGGAGAGCAGCGACATCCCTGACATGGACCCCCGGGAGGAGCCGGCGAGACGGAAGGAGAAACGACGCTGTTTGTGGAGGAAGGGGGGAGAAGGGAGGTTTCCAGAGAAGGAAAGTTTAAGGAGGAAGAAAAATAGAAGTTTTTTGTCCAGCAGGGAAGAGCATCACTTCCCAGCAGCAGTGGGAACACGGTGAGGGGTGTGGGCAGTGGGGGACGGAGTCGAGGGCTGGGGACATGCCGATTCCTGTTATTCCTTACCAACGCTTCCAATAAACCGCCCCCATGGGGTCTGAGCACAGCAGGGCACCCTTGCTTTTTTTGGGGTGTGGTGGGTGTGTGTTAGGGTCACTCTCTCCCCACCCCGGGTGCCACTGGACAAAGCAAAGCAGGTGTTGTCTGAAAGCAAGAGAGGCCTTTGGCTTCCCAGGGGATCGGCTTTAGGGGAGGTGGTTTCTGTGATTAGGGGGGGAAAAAAACCTCTGAAAAACTGGAAAAAAAAGAACTCTGGTTCCCCCCAGGAGCAGCCTCCGGTCTGCTTACGATCTCATCAAGGCCTCGCTGCTCAAATCCCACCTTGCGAGGGGTGAGTCCCTGTGCTCCGGGACAGAGCAGATTTCCACCCCAAGCATCGCCCCTGCCTGGGGAGGGAGGCCTGGGGTTGTATCCCTGAATTGTTGTATTCCAACAATTCAATTCCAACATTCCAATTGTTGTGAGCCAATCCTGGCTCACAAATCCCACCACGGCTCTTGCCCCTGCCACTTCACCTTCTGCGCCACGCTGGTGGCCTCTCCCATAGACGTGGGGAAGAGGAGGTTCCGTGAATGCTGCTCCCAGGTGGTACAGGAAAAATGAGGGGTCTAAGGCTTTCTACAATGGGTGACCTGGGCTTTGCCACCCTTTTCCATCCTCTTCCAAAATGCAGCCGCTTCTGGGGTGGAAGCGCCATCGCTGTCACTCTGGGAGGGGATGTGCTGACCCCAAGCCCAGGAGCTCCCGCAAGCTCGTGCCCTCATTCCTGCGGCGGCTCCTGGAACATCATGATGTTCATCACCTGGGAGCAGCTGAAACGAGGTCAGCAGAAACTGCCTTAAGGCTGTTGTTTTAGGGTGATCCTGTGGCTTAGGGGACCCAGTACTTGGAACAACCTGCGCCCGGTCACAGTGCTGGCTCCAGAGCTTTATTGGTGAGAAGAGAGCTGGAAGGCTGTCATCCCCTAGGACAGGAGAGCACTTTTCAAGAGCATTTTCTTGTCGGGTGTGAGCTTCTTAGGAAAGCAGATGTTGAAATATATGAAGAGGTCACCCTTGCGCTGGGGGTCATGGAGCAGCGGCATCCCCTCCCCTGGCACCACTTTACAGTACTTGGGGCTGCAAAGCAAAGGAAGGGGCTGAGAGGAGCCATGGCGTGACCCCAACATGAGGGGCACAGCACTGAGCCCTGCTGTGTCCCCGGGCAGAGCCTCACACATGCTTCTGAGCGGGCTTCTCAGGGCAGGTTTCCTCCTCCAGCTTCAACCGGTGGCCTGCCCTCCTCTTCCAGCCTTGTCCCCCAGGTTCCTTGCCCGGCCTGCTGTACCATCCCACTCCTGTCTTCCACTCACCCACACCAAGCCCTCTCCCTGCCTCTACCACCAGCAACATGACCCCAGACCAGGAGAGCAGCCCATAGTGGACATCCTCCTCCTCTTCCAGGCTGGGACTCCCCAGCCCCAAACCTGCTGGAAAAGGTTCTGAAAGACCCCAGCAAATTAGGCAACGGGGATGTGCTTGGGAAGCACCCAGCTCTTGCCAAGGAGGAGGCAGCCAATGCTGAGGGTCATCCCAAGCACCCGTTCACCTCCTTGGCCACCAAGTTCTGCAGAAAGGCCCTGTCCAACCCCCTAGCCCACCAGCCATTTAGCCCCACAGCGCTTACTCCACGATGTCGTTGATGGGGATGTTCAGCAGCCTGCCATCCAGCGTCCTCACATCCACCGTGCAGCCGACCAGTGCCTGCAAGGCACAGCGTGGGACCTGGAGCTGCATTTACAGCCCCAGAGAGCAAACATAGAATCATAGAGTCATTTGGGTTACAAAAATATCTTTAAGATCATTTTAGACTAGATCTAAGGCAGAAATTTTTGACACTGAGGGTGGTGAGACACTGGCCCAGGTTGCCCAGAGAGGTGGTGGATGCCCCATCCCTGGGAACATCCCAGGTCAGGCTGGACGGGGCTCTGAGCAACCTGCTCGAGTTGGGGATGTCCCTGCTCATGGCAGGGGGTTGGACTAGATGGCCTTGAAAGGTCCCTTCCCACCCAAACCATGATGTGATTCTATGATCACCAAGTCCGTTAACCCAGCACTGCCAAGTCCACCACTAAACCACATCCCTAAGTGCCATGACTACACGGCTTTTAAATCCATGCAGGGATGGTGACTCCACCACCTCCCTGGGCAGCCTGTTCCAGTGCTTGACCACTCTCTCCGTAAAGAAATTTTTCCTAATATCCAATCTAAACCTCCCCTGATGCAACTTGAGGCCATTTCCTCTCGTCCTGTGGCTGGTTACTTGGGAGAAGAGACCAACACCCCCCTCACCACAACCCCCTTTCAGGTAGTTGTAGAGAGCGATAAGGTCTCCCCTCAGCCACCTCTTCTCCAGACTGAACACCCCCAGCTCCCTCAGCCGCTCCTTAGCAGACTTGTGCTCCAGGCCCTCCACATAATCTGGGACTGGCTCCGTCCCCTTGCCGGGCTCTTTACCTTTCCCAGGGGGATGGTGGCAACATAAATGAGGTTGTCATTGGCTCTTTTAAACCTTGGGTGGAGTTTTTCCTGGACAACAAAGGTGATGTCAGCTGGAATGATGTTTGGGCCCTAAAATTGAGGGTCAAAAAAAAAAAAAGATACCTGGAAATGGTTTGATGTAACACAAGTGATTTTACACAGGGAAAGGTGACACGAATGCCTGCCCCTTTGTTGCCACTTTCAGCTGGCTATGGAGAAGAGAAAGGTATTTTCTTCCTTTAAGAAAAAAAGGAGTCTTTTCTCAAAAAGGCTCAGCCAAGGGAAATCAGACTGGGTTTTGCAAAGGTGATGCCAGGCAGAAAACCACCCCTTTCAATTCTTTTTTTATCTACCCTAAAGAAAATCCAGGCAGGAAAGGCTCCTTAGAGGTTCTAAGCACTGTAACGCTGAATTGCCCCATTCGCCATGCCACCAACTGCCCACAAGAAGTGGGAAACGTACAAAGAGTGTGTGGTCAGTCCCAAGGAAACCTGGCCCAGAACTTCACATGATGGTCATCACCTGGTCTCCTTCCTTCTCAAAGGTGATCCTGGTGCCCTGCTTCCACCCTGGCTGCACGTCAATCGTTAGGATCTTATCTCTGATGGTGCTTGTTTGACCATCTTCATTCATCACCTGGGGGGCAGGACAAGCAGGTTAGAAGAGCTGGGTCATGTCTGGAGAAGTGGGTCTGCGATGAGGCAAGTGCTCAGCTCCACTCTGTCATCAGAACAACCAGCACCAGGCACCGGTTCCATCCATGGAGGCACTGAGCCAGCAGGCTGGATCCTGACCCTGCGGTACCAGACCCACCCCACAGACAGGGCAGTCACCTCTAGGCTGCTACCATCCGTCATGAAATCACAGAAGGGTTTGGGTTGGAAGGGACCTTTCAAGGCCATCTATTCCAACCCCCTGCCATGAGCAGGGACATCTTCAACTAGAGCAGGTTGCTCAGAGCCTTCTCTGCTCCAGGCTGAGCCCCCCCAGCTCTCCCAGCCTGTCCTCCCAGCAGAGCTGTTCCAGCCCTCGGAGCGTTGCTGGGGCCTCCTCCGGCCCCGCTCCAGCAGGTCCATGTCTCTCCTGTGCCGAGGGCTCCAGAGCTGGACGCAGCACTGCAGGGGGGTCTCCCCAGAGCGGGGCAGAGGGGCAGAATCCCCTCCCTCGCCCTGCTGGCCATGCAGCTTTGGGGGCAGCCCAGGACATGGTTGGCCGCCTGGGCTGCGAGCACACATTGCCGGCTCCTGCCCAGCCTGCCCAGCTTATCACCCACCAGGACCCCCAAGTTCTTCTCGGCACGGCTGTCCTTCCCCCCCTCCGAAGGACAACACGGAGAGGTGATCTGTGACACCAAGGTGCCCAAAGAGAGAGAGTTATAACTGCACGGGTCATCCAGCTGTGTGTGAGCTGGCAGAGAAGAGGGTGAGGACAGCTCATACTCCACAGCAAGGCGGCTGTGGGTACAGATGGGATCAGATCAAGTAGGAGAAACTCAGGGCTGGAACCAGGAGATTGGGACAATGAGAGGAGCGATGCAGGTCACTAAAAGCAGAAAGGAGACACAGCCCAGTGTGAAAATGAAGCTGTGGGAGCCCAGGAAATACTGTGCTCCCCCTCTGCCCCCCTCCAAAATCAGTCTTGTCTTCCCATCAGCTGTCACATCACCTGTCCTGCTACTGACAAGCCAGGAAAGAGGGCGGCACCGGTTCAGATCCTGCTGGTGTTTCTGCTTGGTTTGGTTCAGAGCCCTCCCTGCAGCACCGTGCTGTGGCCTGCCGAGCCCTCCGAGCATGATCAGCCCTAAAGCCTCAGGCTCCACTGTCCTACACTGAGGAGAGCCAAGCCCCAAATTCCCCACCCTGCCAAGCACAACCCCCTTCACTCCACTGCTCCTACCCTGCGGGAAATCTTAATCTTCTTGGTGCAGCCGTAGAACAGGTCTTCAAGGGAGAGGTAGAGATCCCGCACGATCGGGGGGTCTTGCTTCATCACTCCTCGTCCTCGCAGCCCTCCGAAGGGCAGGATTAACTCTGAGCCATCCTCGGCAAAGAACTCTGTGAGCGAGTGGAGGGGGGGTCACCTCACTCGGATCAGAGGTCAGGGGTCCCCTGCGGCCTCCTTATTGTGGAAGCTGAGCACTCCAAATATGCCACCCAGAAGGCTCCCATCTGCTTCTGCCTGGGACCACCCTCTCCCTCCAGCTGAAGTGTTTTTTATCTTGCTCACATGTTTACAGCAGCCTCACCAACCCGATGCCTCTTTTTGATAGAAATCCTCCAAGAAAAAGGTCACAACAGTAGCTGGGGAGAGCTGACAGCTTGCACACACACCCTCCAGGCCTCTCACCCACCCAGGACTAGGGGAAGTCAGGATCTAACCTTCAAGCACTGGGGACCAGCAGCCCCAGAGGGACCTGAGAGTACCTGGGCAAGGAAACATTCCTGTAAAGCTTAAAACTCAGGACTGGTGGTGGCCACGGCATCACAGCAGCTACAAATGGGCCTGGGCCACCCCCCAGAGCCCCGCTACCTACCTGCAAAGGGGTTGTCTCCACCAAAGAACTCCTTGAAGACTTTGTCAGGGTTGTTGTGGAAAACGTAGCCAACAGCCCAGGGGTTCTCGCCACCAAACTCCAAGGGGATGCCGCCTTTGAGACCCTCTTCTCCAAACTTGTCGTAGATGCCTTTCTTCATGGCTTAGGGAAGAAGGAGTTGGAAATTGCCACGCTTTCCCATGCTGAGATCCAGATCTGACCCATGCTCAGAGCCTGAGTTCCAGGCTTTGCTGGGGCAGAGACTGGAGAGGAGGGTTCCCTGCCGCCTTGAGAACAGCAAATTGGGACAGAAGCAGGAATATGCCAGCAATCAGCCTGGCTGGGGGTCACAGAGCTGATACCACCTCCCCGGCTGTGCCAGTGACTGGGGGTTCAGACTTCAGCACGCCTCTGGCCAGAGTAGAGACGCTTCATGCTCGGTGCAGCCCCTAAACTCCATGGAAGAGAACCATCTCCCCGCTTACGGTCGCTGAGCACATCGTAGGCCTCCGCCAGCTGCCTGAACCTCTCTGGCGCCCAGGGCTCCTTGCATTTTAAAGGGTGGTTCTTCAAGGCCAATTTCCGATAGCTACGAAGGTGAAAGGAGGGGAGAGCCCAGCCTCACAGCCAGCCCCGGGGTGCCACAACACCCCCGGCCCAGGCTGCTCCCTCGCAGCTTCTCCCAGGCCCTTCCT